GCTGTGGTGACAGCCGCACCCCTGACCGGCGGAGATTGCGGGGCTTCCCCCTCCTCCCCCTTCCACTCCCTCACACCCTCCCGAATCGAAATGGTTCGTCAACGGAATGGCCGGTCAAAAATGGTCGGCCCAGTTGCGCGGTCCTGTAAGACTGCGATTTTGAACGGCCCTCCGTCGGTTGGTCCTCCATGAGGCATTCAATGAGAGCGAGAGAGACAGAGCGATCAGTGACCCGACAGACCGTGCGGCCGGGTCACGTGTGTCACCGCGCCCTGGCCGCGCTTCACGTGGCGCTGGACGCGGCGCCTCGTGGGCCTGCGCCATGGCTGCGCGCGGCAGGCCGTCGGGGGCGGCTGGCTGAGTGCGGGGTCTGTCTCTCTCGCACCGCTGGGCCGTCCCTCAGGGATGCGAGAGAGACAGACCGACGAAAGGACCGAGGGCCTAAACCCGTGGCGGCCCCGCTCGTGGCCCCAAGCGGATTCGGGATTATCGGAGGGCCGGAGGGTCCCAGCCCCACCGCCACCGGGGCAGGGGCAGGGGCAGGGGGACCTTGAAGAGCCTTGAAACAAAGCGACGCGCCTCCTTTCCTTTATGCCTTTCGTCGTCGTCTGGACGGGGAAAAGACTGATGCCGAGAGTCTTTCGCTCTGTCTCTCTCGCGCCTATTCGGGACGGCCCGTGAGTGCGAGAGAGACAGAGCGACGAAAGTGACTGCCTGGGCGGCGGGGCGCCGCGTTATCGCTGACACCCATCACCGCCGAGGACGGCGGGACGCGGCCGCGCGGACGCGGGGGGATCCAGACGAGGCGTCCGGGAACACGGGGGACTCTGAGACGCCGAGCCACGCATAAACTCGAGATAAAGCCGCGACAATGCCCCACGCCCCGATAACGCGCGAGTGTCTGACGCACCCTTTCTTGCCGCCTGTCGGAGCAGTGTCTCGTCGCTCCGTCTCTCTCGCACCTCTGGTGCACCAGCCGCGTGCGTGAGGGAGAGTGACGAAAGCAGTGTTTGGATGGATTCACCCTCCCAGTGTCACTGCGGCGACGTCCACCGGACAGGAGGCGGTTGCCGTGACGGAGGCCCCGTCAAGCAGGCCCCCGTCGTGTTGTTCCCGTCCGTGCCACACTCCGTGCCACACTCCGTGCCGCCGACCGCCGCGGCCGGCTCAAGGGCTGCACTTCTATTTCCAGCCACGGGGCGCTAACAAACGGCGGATGTGTTTTCGTGTTTCGTGTTTTCCCTTTCAGCCCCGCAGTCACACACGCGCGCACGCGCGGCCGCCGCCTTGCCTTTCCGATCGCTGTAATCTGGTAAACAGGTGGCGGTGCGTTTCGACGCGTTCGGCGCGTTCGGTCACAGGGCGGTGGCTTTGAAAGCGAAGCGCGGAGCCGGCCGAGAAGTGAGCGGCCAGCGAGCGGTTTGGCCGCTGCATGTAGCTCGCCCTGCACATGTGGGTCAATTTTGTGCTGCAACTTTCCTGGCCAGGCTCCAGCTCGGGCTCCAGCTCCAGCAGTGCGTGGCGGCGGGGCGTAGCGCGTAGCAACGCAGCCCTGGCGGCTGGCAGCCCGGCCCGGGCTGGCAGGGCGGAGCGCCGCCGTGCCGCCGTGCCGCCGACACAACACATCCTGCAGTCCTGCAGCGTGTCCGCCGTGTCCGCGTTACGCGACCAATCACGGGGATGACAGCGACACGCCGAGCCAGCCAGCCGAGCGCCCAGCCGGCGACGCCGCGGCGATACCCCGCGCCGGCCAGGTGTCCCGGTGCCGCGCCCCGCCGCCGGCAGGGCTGCGTCGCTACCCCGCGCCCCGGCCGGCCGCCTGCGGAGTAGGCCAAGTGTCGCCGGAGCGCAGGATAGGCTGCCTACCTGGCCGGCGCTCCGCGGGTCTGCCCTGGCTGCCCTGGCTGCCCTTGGTCCTACACTCTCTGCTCTGCTCTCGCGGTCGAGGGTCCCTGCCTCTGCCCCCTTGACCTCCACTGTGGTGGCCCTCGGCCGCGAGAACCCAGGGCTCTTCCCAGTATGGTCGGGGTTTAGGCTGCCATAACTCTACGCTGGAAGCTTTGCCCAGCATCCAGAGGCGCCCGTCTTCGGCCGCTGCCGGCTCAACCACCTAAATTTATCCGATTTGCAGCGAATATGTAACGCTTTTCGTGACATTTCGAGTCTACTCAAGGTGGAAATTAAGTCTAGCAACCTAAGTGGATGTCTCTCGTTGGCCATCCGACGGCCTCACTCGCGGGAGCGAGGAAAAAACGGGCGTCTCGCTCTTGCTGGGGTCTGGCTGCCTCGCGAGGAATTCAAAGCTGCTGTAGAAACTGCGTTGCGGGTGGATGGAATCCGAAGAGAGTGGAGGATGCGCCGAGTGCCTGGCGGCCTGGCGGGCTGGCCTCGCAATGCTGCAGGCAGGCCTGCCAACCAGAGCTTGAAGGCACGACGTCGTCCTGTGCGCTCCGCGCTCCGCGCCGGCCGCCATCGCGCGGCTCCGGCTGCCCGGCAGGGACATCTAGGCTTCGGCGAGCCCCAGCCCCGAGCCCACTCACTCACTCACCTCAGCCAGCATGTGGTAGCCGCGGCCGGACGGCGACGCCCAGGAAGCGCGCCGCGACGCGGGGCCGCGACCCCCGGGACTGCGACCCCCGGGACTGCGGCCCCCGGGACTGCGACCCCCGGGACTGCGACCCCCGGGACTGCGACCCCCGGGACTGCGGCACCCGGGACTGCGGCCCCCGGGACTGCGACCCCCGGGACTGCGACCCCCGGGACTGCGGCCAGGATCCGGCGAGGACGGCGAAGACGCCGTGGACGAGCCCGCGGACGATCCCGTGGAGGAGCCCGTGGACGACGGCGAGGTCGACGGCACGGACACCAGGGACGCCGCAGTGCTCGACCTGCGGGGGGCGTGGACCGGGGCGTGGACGGGGGCGTGCACGGGGGCCACGCTGTGGACGTGGAGGTGGCCGGCCGAGCCGAGGCCGGCCTGGTGCGGCGAGGTCTTGCTGCGGGTCATCGCGGTGCTGCAGGACAACAAGAAGAGCGTCATGCCGGCGCCAATATGAAAAAGTTTGGCGGGAGAAAGGCGGGCTGCGTGGCGCCGCGCTATGGGATTCCTCGGCCGCGTTCGCGCGGACACACTGCTTGGCGTTCCCGCTAACGAGTCTGCGCGTTGCTCGCCGTTGCTCGGCGTTCCGCGCACGTCCCATTAGCCAGCCCGGCGTCCGCCGCTGCAGACCGATTCCGAGGGTCGTTCTCGTCGCTCTGTCTCTCTCGCACTCACAGGGCGTCGCGTGCAGCTGCGAGAGACGGAAACGACTCTCGGAATGAGCATGCTCGCGGCGCTGCGTTTACAGCGCAGACCGCCCTTGCGGTGGAAGCAACGACCGTCGTTACGCATTGAGTCACAAATTCAAAAGCGCGGCTTTTGAATTAATTAAGTTGTAAGCAGCTCGTAACTCTCCCCCGTCCCGAGGACGCCGCTGGCCGTTCCGCGCCGCACCCTTACCTGGCTGCTTGCTGCCGGTGCTGCGGGGTAATCCAAAAGGCAGAACCTCACACGCTACGCTACGCGACGCGGGCGGCGCTACCCGGGCGAGGCCACCACGTCGACGGCCTTCTCGGGCCCTTGCGGTGGAGCTGCAGGCGCGGCTGCATTTACCAGTGCCGGTGCGGGGTGCGCTGGCGCGATGCTCGTTGGCGGGGCGCGAGGCGCGAGCCGGTCGGGCGACGCGACGCGAGTGCCGTCCGCTGACGTCCGGGGCCGGCAGGGCCGCCAGGGCCGGTCAGGCCGGCCGCGATGACGCCATGACGCCCTGCAGGGCCTGGCGGTGCCGCCGCGGCCGCGTTGAACCGCCAAGAACGACCCCCACCGGGGCACCAAGGGGACACCGCAGGGCAGGCGAGCCACCGGCACACCACGTGCGCGCGGCGCAGCCAGCCGGCACCACACGGTGACCAGCCAAGGCGGCTTTGCCGCCCGCCCACTTAGGTGGCGGATCCAGAGGGCGCCTTTGCGGGAGGCAAAGTAGCACGTTTGCCTCCTACAGGCGAATGCTTTTGCCTACCTCATTGAGGCGTTCAACGCGTTCAACTTGATGCATACCCCCCCCTCCAAATCACCGCTTTGCGCATCTTATTTGGAAGTATTTTATATGAATATATAAGAATATAGATATTCCCTAATTTCAGTTCCTTTCTTCTTTTGTGCGAACTTCCAGCTAAACTTTGTGACCTAATCCATTTTTTTGCGTTTTTCGAGCCACACTGGATATGGGTTCTTTGAGGGTGGTGCCGTCTTCGGGACGCTTCTCGGGCCTGCAGTGCAGTGGAGACGGCCGAGACGGGCCCCGGGGGCATTGGGCGGCAGGGCGGCAGGGTGGCGTCAACGGACAGCGGAGCAAAACAACGTCTGGCCCCCGCGTCCCCGCCCAGCCCAGCCCCCTTGACTGCAGTAAGTGGATTTGCTCTGAAGGACAGCAGGAAGCCCTGCATGGCCATGCACCGGGCTAGAGCCGCTAGACTGAGCACGTGACCGGGGGTGGGGTTGGGGGTTGGGGGCCCGAGGGGGCTTCTGAATCGCGCCGCCCTGCAGGCTCCTTGCACCGCGATCGCCGTGCCGCCCTCGGACACAGCCCTGCTCGAGCCGCCCCTGCATGCCGCCTGCATGCCGCCTGCAGGGTGGCGGGGCGGGGGCGGCCAGAGGGGCCGAGAACTCTCTGAGATTAGTGGAGCTGACTGGGCCGGCGCAGCAGACTGATTCAGAGAGTCGTTTTCGTCGCTCTGTCTCTCTCGCACCGAGTACACGGGACGCCTCATGAGTGCGAGAGACACAGTCGAGAGGCCAGTGTACTCGTTGCTCGTTGCGCAAGTCGGAGTAAAGACCTACAGGGTGGATCCAGAAAGTCGAAACAGCATTCGACGGCAGTCGACTGCCTCGTAAAAATCAGGATGTCGCGCAAATGACTTTTATTAAATAACTAAACGCCTTAGGTAAGGTAGGGACTCCATTACGAGGACTTCGGAATAATACGCAATTCATATTGGCTGCACATTTTGATAATCTTCTGGTTTCCCCTTCCGCCGTTCATGGTGGCAAGGTAGTGTCCGTAAGGGAAAACCGGAACGTTTGGGAAGGACCAATCCACAGGTTCATCGAAGACGTACACTCCCTACAAACAACCACACCTCTTAGTACAGACACGTCAACCATAAGGCCAGAACTGACTTCGCTGTCGGTCAGCCATTGTGGAAAGACTCATTGTTGACACGTTCCACGTACCACAGGCACTGAACAAGCACCAACCAGGCTGACACCTTTGTACATAACTTTGAAGAAAGATGGAAGAAAGGCTCTGAATCTTGAACAGCCTTGGTTCGGAAACTTCAAAACATACGCATTTTTCTTCCATTCATTGTTAGCTCGAACGTCTATCCTGATATCCATCTGCGAGAATGAGAATATAAAACATTTAATTTCAAATAATAAATGGGTGTGGTGAGGTGAGGTTAGGGAACCTTACTTACCCACACAGCATCATCAAAGGGCTCGAATACTGTCACGTTCCCAGAAACGTTTTGCCTTTCAGAGGGGTTATAGCGGTTAAAGTGAGATGCGCGCAGATAGAGTTTCAATTTTCCACTCGCCGCCTCATCATCGCAAGACAGGACCCTCTCGACGATGGTAACGTATGGTCCCTTCAAAAAATTATCGCGTTACAAATGGATTGGGTTTCTTATTTTATGACTGGTTCTTGTCCAAATTGGCACACAATTGCACTTATTATGCGGTCAATTTTTCATGGCGTAGTGCCTTTGAAATTTGCTCATTATCACTTGGAATATCAGTGCATCCAAAAACAACCGTGAAAAATAAGAGCAAGAAGCACTTACGGCAAAGGCAGGAATGCTCTTCGCGGCGCAACCGGATGCCAATACGAAGAGAATTATCAAGTAATCTGCACGGGGCAGAATAAGAGGCATCTTAGTTTGTACCGGTCTCCGAATAACTTGCCGGAATCTGGCAGATTGTGCCACTGTGAGAGAAAATGAAGGATGTAGCTGTTCACACTAAACTCTTGCACTAGATACTTACGTAAGCTGTGCACAATATTATGCAAATGCATAATTCCCTTTTTGTTCTTACAGCCGAGAATGAACTAAGGGAGCCATCGGGCTCAGGCAGCAGGTCAGGCCATCCACAGAGTAGCAGTGGAGAGAATGAAGCGCATGCCACTTCATTGCACGGAACGTTTAGACACGACACAACGTGATGAGGGATTATAGATACACATCGTCGCATCGGCTGGTTCATCCATCTGTAACGCCCTTGAATCAGGCAACAGATGGGCTTATTATAGATACCCGACGCATTTCTAATTAGTCGGGAACCCGGGACCGACCACTAAAAGTACAAGTTTTTCGGGACCAGATTTCCCACGGACGCGTTGCGGTCCTGAATCTTACAGGAACCGTGTAACAGACTTCGCGATTCTGCGCCAGTTCCACCAATCAGGGCGGGCTGTTCTGAGGGTTCCGAGACAAGGCGATGACGCCTGAGCTGTCTGTCCGTCCTCGTCGGGGCGCTATAGGCCAATTTTCGACAAACTAGCTTTTCTGTCCGGCTCGTCCTGACTTTACGCTGTAGTACAGTGCTACACCGTAAGGCTTCGGCTCACTGCACTGTACGACCGGACAGGTACAACAAACAGTTTGGCGGAGGCTTTGGGGTGAGGGGAGTTCAGGGGACGCGGCCGCTGTCAAGTTATAAATCCATAAATATGTCGAGGGCTCTGCCGACCGGCCGTGCCGCTGTGACGGCGTGACCCAACCCACGTTAACCCACGTGACCCTACCGGCCTGCCGGACATGTGACCGGCCGGCAGCTTGCCCCGCATTACCTCCCAATCTGCAGACGAATGACGTCATCGCGGTGGCGCCGCGGCCACCTCGTCACGTGGGGCGGTCCGGACGTACACAATCCCTCCAGTCAGAATCTTTTTCTCGTATTACAAAAAAAATGGCAAGATCGCAGTCTGAAAGCACGAGAGCGTTCGCTGCAAATTGGCCACCGCTTTCGCCCATCCGCCTTCCTCCCGGCCAGCACACTGTTTTCGCGAGTCGTCCTCGTCGCTCTGTCTCTTTCGCACTTACACGGGACGCGCCATGAGTGCGAGAGAGACGAATACGGCTCTCGGCCTGCGCACTCCACTGCATCATCCGCTGCGTTCCTTGCGCCCCCGGGCAGCCAGGCCTGGCCGTGCGTGCGGGGTGCAGGTTGCACTGCACCATGCTGCACCGTGCTCCAGCCCTCCACACCCCAAGGCCGCCATCGGCCTGCTCCAGTTCGAACTGCTCGAGACGGATTCCCCTGCTGCCTGATTCGAAAGGTCGTTTCGTCGCGGAGTGCCTCATTATGTACGACCTCATTCTTACCGACCTGCCGAAATTCGTCCGACCGCCTTTCCGCTTCCTGCGACGCTGTTCGAGACTGGCACAGCCACGCTGTTCGAGGCTGGCACAGCCACGCTGTTCGAGGCTGGCACAGCCACGCTGTTCGAGGCTGGCACAGCCACGCTGTTCGAGGCTGGCACAGCCACGCTGTTCGAGGCTGGCACAGCCACGCTGTTCGAGGCTGGCACAGCCACGCTGTTCGAGGCTGGCACAGCCACGCTGTTCGAGGCTAACAGCCACGCTGTTCGAGGCTGGCACAGCCACGCTGTTCGAGGCTGGAACAGCCACGCTGTTCGAGGCTGGCACAGCCACGCTGTTCGAGGCTGGCACAGCCACGCTGTTCGAGGCTGGCACAGCCACGCTGTTCGAGGCTGGAACAGCCACGCTGTTCGAGGCTGGTACAGCCACGCTGTTCGAGGCTGCAACAGGGACCATGCCGACCAAACGGCGCCAGCCTCTAAGAGAGAATTTTTCGTAGGTAGGTGAAGCGCATATTTTTATCTCATTTATTTGACTGAATTTTTTTTCAATATTTTTACTAGGTAGTCGAACTATAGGTAGGCAAAATAGCCATATTTTTATGAAAATTTTTATCGAATTTTTTTTAATGCTTTTTTTAGGTAGGCGAAATTAGGTAGGCGAAATATAGGTAGGCGAAATAGAACGTAGGCGAACATTTAGGTAGGAGAAATGATACAGACTCTGCGGCACGTGGCCGCTGCCCCGCCCTCCCCCCTCGCCGCGGCCCGCAGGGCTGCGAGGCCTGGCCCTACCCCACGCGGCAGGGCCTGGGGCGGGGGAGCGACGGGGAAGGCCAGGAGTATCGCGGGCACTCAGCGAGTAAGTTGAGTAGGTCAGTCCTCTCAGTCCCCCGCCAACAGCGAGTGCCACTTTGCGAGTTTTAATTGGCAATTTCAGTTTCAGTAAGTAAGTTTCAGTTGCAAGATTCAGTTAGCGAGTTTTAGTAAGCCAGAAAAAGTGAGCAGGTTTCAGTAAGGTTCGATTGCAGGGGTTGCGTTCGTCGCTTACCTTTGGGCCCCCCTTTGCCCTTTATCGTGCTCCAGGGTCCTTTTTGGGCTAGCCTATCATGTTTTTATGGCTCGTATAGTTTGGCCCCCAGCCCGCAGCACCAGTGTGAAGTGCGTCGCGGAGGCGCGGCGGCGACGGCATCGCCCGGCATCGTCTCACGCGGCTCGCGGCTCGGCGTCGCGGCGCGGAATGCCACCAGAGTGCACCAGAGTCACCCGGGCCCTCGGCGACAAGAGCGTCAAGGC